AGAGAATAGGACAGACAGCAGAATACATCAGACACTAGAAAGGCAATTTGTCAATCAATGGAAGGGAAACTGATGTGATGCAGCAATCTGTATACGGGGTAAAATTGGGAGTTCATAACCCACTTGAATCAAACTGTGAAATATGATGTATTAAGAACTATGTAATGTTATGAACGACCAACAATAAAAAAAAAAAAACAAATACCCAGTGTCTACAGAAACAGTAATGCAGAGCAGGAACAGGAATCAAACYAGTGTTTTTTTAAACAGGAAATTTCAGAAACATATGGTCAGTGTTATTCTACTGAGAGAAGAAGGTAGTTTTTACAATACAGAAAGTAACATAAATGTTGAATGTTTTATATGGAAAGCAGAGAAAAGGGCAGTTTCCCCAGATTGTTCTCAGYAGGAGGGTTCTGAGAGCCCTATTGATTATTAGTCTTCTGCTTGGGCTTCCTGGTTCTTAAAGTATGCCCTGCAACCAGAAATAAGTTGGACACTTCCAGAACAAGTGTGCACCCTAACTGAATCTCCCAGCTGTTCTTGTAAGTCTGCCTGAGGGTAGCACGAGTTCCTAGATTTTAATCCCCTTTATGTGTTCTCAGACTGCAAAGGATTTTTGAACAGAATCAGGCTACATTCTGTTAATATCTCAAGTAAAGTTTTGGTATTTGATAGATGGGCGTCTCCATTTCTGTGTGGCATTCAGGCCAAGATGTCAGTGCAGAGGGTGTGGAATTTCAAGGGTGCTGTGTTCTGTGAGGCACCACAGGGCCTCTGCACCTGGGTCCCCTCCTCCTTCTTTATGTCCTTGGCTGGCTGAGCCACCTGTGCTCCCTGACCCCATACGCCTCTCAGCAGACCCCGGTGCACGAGAGGCTGTTCTCAGACACCATCTTCCTTATGCCTTTCTGTTCTTGAAAACCTGGAATAAGTTAACTTTACTTTAACTTTCTAGTTAAGTCCCAGGCCCGCYCTGATCAACGTTTGCTGGGGCAGCGAGCCCTGTCACTCCTACAGAAGTGCCCGAGGCCCACAGGTGGGGATGAGAGGACCAGGCCAGCCCTGGGCCACGGAGGTTCACGTTCTCACACGGGCATCTGGATTCCAC